CTCTCTCTCTCTCTCTCTCTCTTTCTCGTTATCTCGTACTTGTATTATTCGTATATTATTTTCATTTGATGTGTCGCTCGCCTGGCGATCGGTGTATGCCGAACCGCGTCGATAATCCCACTGCACGTGTTTGCCATTCGCGAAGTCAATCACGTGCCGTAAGTGCGCAGTTGCTGCACATTTCGAAGCGCGACGCGATGCGTGTACACTTTGATTATAGCTTCACGTAACTACGTGCGTGCGAGATAATAGGAAAAAAAGAGACGCGCGGTATATGAGCCGCTCGCCAGTTAATTCGATCAACTCCATTTTTTATAAATTTCTCGATTTTAGTAGCAGAGCGTGTGATTGGCATTTAACTCATCGAGAATTAAACGACGGAGTTGATCGGTTCAATTTACATACGTTGTAATAACATTGAATTGGAACATTACTTAGCATACTTTCAGTAAATAACAGCAACAACTATTAACTGAACGATGTTAATGATATTATTGATCGATAATTTAGTTTAATCACAATCGACACGAGTAAAATATAATTAGAACGGCATTTCATATGAATTCGCTTGAGCGTTGTTATAAGTAATTCGAATCAATAATAAATAAATGAGTAACAAATTTTTAACAGAAAAAAAGAAAAAAAAAATTGGAGATGCCGGGGATCGAACCCGGGGCCTTTCACATGCAAAGCGAACGCTCTACCACTGAGCTACATCCCCGTTTTTTAATGGAGTCGCACTAATTCAAGAAGACCTCGTTATGATTATTATTGATTTTCTTTAAATACCTTTTATTCTAATTTCAAATAATTACATATGTATACATATATGTATATATATCAAGATTTGGTAACATGTTAGTAAATCGATTCACTTATGATATTTACTGTAGATCACGTTGACGAATTGATTCAGTCGTACAGCTCGCTATAGATCATACATCGATTTCTTCTGATTGAGATCGCTTAACAATTTTATTTATCCAAATTGTTTCTTCATTTAATTTTTTAAAAAAACACAGATACATGACAGAAGTCTTGTAGTTTTATGTACTGCTTTACAATTGAATCGATTCTTGACCTTGTTCCAGTGATATTTCTCTATTTATAGCAATGACATTCATTTTCAAGGCCATATTTCATCTAAATTTTTATTAAACGTTTTCCAAG